GAAATGAGGCACAAACTGAGATTTGTACACCAATGTTCATAGCAGCATTATTCACCATCACAAGAACATGGAAACAGCCCAAATGTCCATCCACAAACAAATGGATTAAGAAATTATGGTACATTCATTCACACAATGGAATACTATACAGCATGCAGGAGCTATAACTCTGTAAATTATTACCTAACTTGGGAGGGACTGGAAAGCATTATGCTGAGTAAACAAACTTGGTCCCACAAGGATAAATATTGTATAAGACCATTATTGTAGAATGAGTATAAGGATCCAAGAGGGGTGGGAGAGGCTGGAAGCAAAGGGATGTGAATATATAGGGGGAGGGGAAGATTAATTATTGGATTGTACAATTTGATGGGGGAGTGAGGGAAATTGAAAGAATTTGTTTGAATTTGTATTAGAATTTTGTAACTGAACTAGTAAATAAAAATAAAATAAAAAACCTTATCAGAAGCCTCCATTATACAGATGACACAACCTTGCTTCCTGAGACTAAAAAGGACCTGAATGAAGTATGTGCTAAAGAAGGTCAAGGAGTGCAGTCTCCAATATGGACTGAAGTGCAACATCAAAAAAACAAAGATTCTCACCACTGAGCCAACTGGCAGTATCATGATAGAGAAGTGATTGAGATTGTTAACAATTTCAGCTTGCTTGGTTCCACAATCAACACTTTTGGCACCAGTAGTCAGGATATCAAAAGACAGATTGCACTGGGAAAATCTGCTCTCAGAGACCTCTCCATAGTACTGAGACCAAGGATATCAGTCTAGTGTCTAAAGTGAACCTGATCCAGGTCATGGTCTTTGCAATTACTTGCTATATACCAGAGTCAGACAATGAATAAGGATGGCAGAAGAAGAAGATGCCTTTGAGTTGTGGTGATGGAAAAGAGTATTGAACATATTGCGGACTGCCAAGAAAACAAACAGATCTCTCCTAGAGAGGGTGAAACCAAGTTGCTTCTCAGAGGCAAGGACTCTGTAGCTCTTTCTCACACACTTTAGACATGTTGCCTACAGGGACCAGTCCTTGGAGAAGGATATTATGCTTGGAATAGTGAAGAGATGGCACAGAATAGGAAGACCCTGGATGAGATGGATTGACTGGGATAATGGGGGTAGGTGTGTCAGAGATAGTGAGATTGGCTCAGGCGAGAGCAGGGTTCCAAGCTGTTGTGTACAGGGTCACTATGTGTTGCGAGTGACTCAACAGCACATAACAACAATAAATCAAATGCCATCTCACCCAAGTGGCAGTAGTTAAGTTGAGCAAGACAGTGAGTAATAAATGTTGGAGAGGATGTGGTGAGACTGGAAGCCTTATGCTCTATTGGTGGGATTACAGAATGGCACCGCAACCCTAGAAGGCAATTTGGGTCTTCAAAAAAGCTTTCCTCAAAAAGCTGAACATAGAGATCCCATATAAGCCAGTTATTCCATTGATAGGACTATATCTCAAGGAAAATAGAGCTAAGACACAAATGGAGATTTGTATAGCTATGCTCCGAGCAGCATTATTTATAACAAGAAAATGTAAACAGCTCAAATACCCATCAACAAATGAATGGATTGAGAAATTGTGATACAGTCACACAATGGAGCACTATGCAGGCATAAGAAGCAACAATTTTGTAAAATACTATATAGCACAGGAGACTTTAGAGAGTATTATGCTGAGCAAACAAACTCAATCTCATAAGGACAAACACTGTGTTTGTCCATTATTGCAAAAATAAAAGGATAACATGTGAGATGTAGATAAAAGCCCAAACGGGGGCAAGGGTATGGAAATGGGAAGCAGGGGAAATCACTAGGATGCCCAAGTTGAGTGCATGGTTGGGAGCAATTGGTGAAGGAATAGGAAAGATCCCATTCAGAGCTGAAAAGACTTGGTTAACAATAGCCATAAATCAATGCAGATTAATTTTATAAAACTCAATATATAGAAATGATTGTATGAAGCACAATGTGAATTAAAGGATATGTGAAGTGCAATGTATATGAACGAAATACAATATATAAAAAATCATATTCAATTAAAAAATGTTTTAAATATTTGTAACCCTAGAAACCCTAAGGGGTCATTTTCCCCTTTCGGTAGGGTTACGATGAAAGGGAACTGACTTAACAGTAATGGGTTTGGCCTATTTTTTTAATAACCTTTTGTCATCTCCTTTTACTGTCCTTCATCTCTCTACAAGTTATTTGGTGTATAGAAATAGCTTTCTATATCTTTGGTATTTGACCCCAAGAGAGAGGCATTTGTGTATGATATTCTCAAGATGTGAACTGTAACACATCTGGATGTGAACTAACCCTGCGGATGGAACTTCCAGGCTGATGATGACATGTCCTGCTTTACTTATCCAAGTCCTGTCTAGTCCTTATGTAATAAATGCCTGTTGACCACTTGTCTAGTCAGACCTCTGCTGCTCTAAACAGACCTTCACTAAGAAATTGTCAATAAAGTGACACTGCGCTTGTCATCATCCAGTTGGTTGTCTTTAACTAGTCAGAGTACAAATTCCATGTATTAATGTAGCTTTTGTTTATAGTGAAGGAGAAAGACCAAAAACAATTTAATCGTCAAACTATATACTATGTTGAATAGGGATGGATGGCAGAGAGAAGAAAACAGGAAAGCAGGATGGGGTGGGGTGAAAGGCATTATTGAGAAGATGATGTGAGCAAAGACTTCATGGTGGCATGAGGAGGCAACCGTGTAGATTTCTGAAGGAAGAGAATTCAGGTAGAGGAAACAGCAAGAACAAATGTTTGCTACACACAATGAAAGGCAAATAAATTAACTGAAAAGAATTTGCTAATGAAGTGGGAAACCAAAACAGTGTGATCTCTAAGAAGGCAAGTGAAGAAAGTGTTTTGAAAAGAATGGAGTAATAAACTGTATCAAAATAGTTGACGTATCAAACAGCATGAGGACCAAGAAACGATAAATACCGGATTTAGCACATGGAAGCCATACATGACTTTGACAAAAACAATTTCAGTGAACTGATCCTAACCTTGATAGAAACAGGGTTCAAGAGAGGAACTAGGGCAATAAACACAGACAAAGAAGCTTTCAAGCAATTAAAGACCAGTTGCTAGAGGAGCGTAGGATCAAGATCCAAAAAACAAAAAGAAGTTTCCATGCCTAAATGATTTTAGGAAGTTTTAAAAGAAAAAGAAAAAAAGAAGAAGACCAGTGATAATAAATGGTGTAACTCATGACTACTAAAAATAGAGGAATTTTAGAAATGTCTGGCATCCATTCAAAAAGACTTGGATTTGCTATATAAGGTTGTAGGTATACAGGATTATAGGTATAATGAGATTCTATAAGCCTGCTTAGATGATATTTCATCCAGTGTGAAGACTGTGTTAAAAGAGAAAGGAGTGATTCAATTAAGATTCACAAAACAGGAGTTGAGAGATAAAATGTGGCAATGTGTTCTCAGCAATGTCCAAGAATATGCTGACTGTTGTTGTTAACGTACCATCGAGTTGGAAATGACTTATAGCTATAGACCCTCCAGGATTTTTCAGACAGTAAATTGCATAGGCATGCATGCTACAATGATTTCAGCAATGGGCTTGATTGTGAGTCTGGCACAGGATAGGACAGGGTTCAGATCTGTTGTTGATATAATGGCTCTGAGTTGTACTCGACCAGATGGCACCTATCAACAATAACAACAAACTGCACAGAAGGAGACTGCTCATCGTTCTGTCACAAAGAGGCTTGATAGATTCAAATTGCATGCCTCTGGGTTGGCAGCACAACTTCTTATCACTAAGTCACCTATATATTTGTCATATACTGATTGTTGTGCTTGTGTGCTGTAGAGTCAGAACCAACCCATAGCTGGCGCTACAGGAGATTTCCAGAGGCAGTAATTACACAGGAGATTTCCCATCCTCCCATGGACTTGAACCGTGTGCCTTTGGGATTACAGCACAGCTTCTACATACTGATTAGTGGACTCGAAAAATTAGTTCCTTTTACTGACAGGTTTTTAAGATTTGCATCATCAATATGGGTATATGGATGTTATTAAGTTACTAAACTCATCCACATTATTTCAGGACAATTTAGTAGTAGTAGCTTCCCACATTCCCTACCAGAGGAAAATAAGTTTATCAGGGTTTGAATATCTGCTCCTGAGACTTTTTATTAGTAAACTGGCATTCTGGTTTGTTCCATGTTCCCAAGTGAGTAGTTCTAATACTCAGCAGCCTGGAACTGTCTGGTTATATAGAAGTAAAAGGTACTTATGAAGCTAAGGGCCAATTAGTTATTACACTGAGGTGTGGCCACACTGGGCCAACCATCATTAAGCCTCCCAGGTGCTTACCTCATTCTTTATCCTCTAACCATGCTTCAAATGCTGTACTGAGGAAAAAGTACTAGAGCCATGGAAGACTCTACCACCAATAGCCCCACAACACTGGACCGTGTCACACAATCTTTGAGGTCCTGTTGAACTATCTTTTTTAATTTTTTTTATCTTATATTGGTTTGCACACAAAACTCAGATATATATACTTAGTGTTTCACACTTTCTTTCATTCTCATTGTGTTTTATACAATCATTCCCATATATTGTGTGTTAGAAAATGAATTACCATGGTCTATGTCCACCATTATGGGACTCATAATGGACAGTATGGCTGAGATTGTGATGACGGTATAAGGTTCCATCTGTTCTTCATAGGGTCGATATGAGTCCTAACTACAGTAACAAAAAATTAGCTATTCTATCTCAATAGATTGTTCTGTGGCTCAGAATCTAAATAACATAGGCATGAGTAATATATAGAAGTTGAGGGTAAATGAATAGAAGATATTAACACTATGAACATTTCATGTCCTGCAGCATGATTTATAACTGGTACACTGAGGCATTGTTATCATAAGTATCTAAGATCGAAAACAAGATGAAGGATCACAAAATCCACTAAACAAAATACGAGAAATCCTACCTTTCAGCCACGGGTTTGGCAATGGTTTCAAAAATAATCTCTTGTTTCGCATCCTGATCAAAAATCCTTTGAAATCTGCAAATGTTAAAGTGTTAAAATTATTTCAAAGCTGAACTTTCAAACACTATTGGATCAGTAAATCTTGTTTATCTGCTTTGTAAATTACCCCGTCTTTACATCACTGGGCTTACCTAACTTAACACAATGTTTGCCCTGTAGTCCCAACCACACTGTGCCGTTGTGCTCCCGCACACAAATCGTTGGTAAACAGTATTGCTTTGACAAGATCTGAACAATAAATCCCTCTGAAAACTGTAGCAGCTTTGAATCAAATAATAAACTGTGTGTTGTTTCTGGCGCTCAAGAGGGACAGTGTCTACAACTGGCATCAAATTCAAACAGAGATAATTGCATGGAATGGAAACCCAAGAACAGGATATAAACAGCCAAAGGACTTGACACCTGACCTGTGAGAAAAGGAAGAACCATGAGATGCAGAATTATAGAACTTTGACTTTGGAATTAGAATTGACACTTATTTTCCCCTCATTAGGCACTGAATTTATTACACCCTTAATAAAAATTAAGTGAGTTTATTGGTTTTGCTGACCATTTGTAAAAAGTTAAATTAAGGCAGATAGGCCTTCCACAGAGACATCTTTATCAGATTGGCAATGGCTAGGGATGTGGAGAGAGTGCAGTATCAAATTTATACTTCTCACAAAGCCATTCTAAACACGGGTAGTACAGGATCACAGCACAGTGCACACTTGGGTAGGAAACAGACAACCTGCTCTTTCACAGTAGGGTAAGATGCTATTGGTCATTAAGGGCTTCATGAAAATAACATAACAAAAAGAAGAGAGGAAAGCAAGTGGACAGGTAAGCAGACAGAGTGACAAAAATCAGGAAGCAACTGGGACAAAACATTATTAAGCAGTGAATCTCAAAAAGGGTATAGAAGTGTTGATTGGGCTATTCTTCCTTTTCTGTAGATTTGAAAAATTTAAAATAAAAATTTAGGGAACAAAAAAGTTTTAAAACTTTGAAACAAATTTGTCCTAAATTGCTTTCATATCGACTTAGGGATCTTTGATCAAAATGACAGCCTACATAAGCAAGCGAAGGAGGCACCTGCCCAATTATAAAAGGGTCATGCAGGACCATTTTCACTGCTAAGCAATTCAGAAGGATGGCTGGGACTAGACTATAAAGACCAAATGGAATGAAATTCATTATCTTTAGACAACGTGAACTTCAAAAGAGCTGATCACCTCTTCTCTCTCCTTTTGAAGAAGCAAATAATTGAAAGCACACACAAAGAGGAATCCTAAGGTCTTCTGGATACGATGGCATTTAGCGGGAAGGATTATACTTCAGTCAGCAATATTTACTGTTCCCTAAGTGTTGCTCTGTGCCCTGAAGATTCCTCCAAGTGCTATAGGTGCATCCCAGCTTCTGCTACAGATGCTAATGTAACAGGGCTTGTGGCTGCCTAAGGATGTCTCAGAGAAGTCTGCAAAAGTATCTAAGCACATACTCTTAGCAACGTTTTTAAGGGTGATAATGCTAAGGCATAACAAGTGCATCCAATATAGACCAGAGAGTACATCAGAGAGCTGGACAAGGACTAGGGAGGATAGAAGGAGAATTGATGCCTTTGAGCTATGGTGCTGGAGAAGAGTATTGAGAGTACCATGGACAGCTAAGAAAACAAGCAGATTCATCCTGGAGAGGGTTAAACTGGGCTGCTCATTGGAGGCAAGGATTCTGAGGTTTCGTCTGACATACTTTGGACATGCTGTAAGGAGGGACCAGTCCTTGGAGAGGGACATCATGCTTGGGAGGGTGGAGAGACAGCACAGAAGGTGAAGGCCCTCTATGAGGTGGATTGATTCAATGACTGGGGTAACTGGGATGGGTGTATTGGAGACAGTGTGATTGGCTCAGAAAAGAGCAGAGTTTAGAGCTGGTGTACATAGTCGCTTGCAACTCATAGCGACTTGATGGCACATAACAGCAACAAACAATGCTAAGGCTGGTTTGCCTCTCTACGAAGTTGATGATGACTGAGTGAATTAGTTATTGTTTCTTTGGATTTATCTTTTTTAAGAAATGGATGTAAATTACATGCACATCCAAAAACTTCTCCAACAGGGTAAAAAGGGAAGCTACAGACTG